GCAGGCACCTGTAATCCCAGCTAGCGGGCTGACTGATGCAGAAGAATGGCTTGAACCCGGGAGGCAGAGGTTGCAGTGAGCCAAGATGGTGCCACTAAACTCCAGTCTTAAAAAAAAAAAAAAAAAAGGTTTGGAGAATGTGTAACAACAGCTTAGGTGACAAAGCAAGGCTCTCTCTCTCAAAAAAAAAAAAAAATGGTTTGGAGAATGCGTAATGACATGATCCTCGAGAAAATTAAAATAACAACTTATGCTACATAATTGAAATACAGTTTTTAATTTTCTGAGTCACAGAGCTACAAACATGTACAGATAAAATTGACTGGATGCATAAACGTTAGCAAACTTCCCCCTTTAAACAAGAGAATTCTCTTTGTCAACATTTGTTCTCATATCAACAAATTAGGGAAAGGACCTAAATGTTCAATTAAATACTCTTTGGATCAGAAAAGCACAATAGGAGAGAAACGGGTGGGAGTCCCACGTGGGTTCCTGGTTTCCCTCATTGTTTCTGAGCTCTGCAGCCTGACACATACGGTGGGTAATATTATCCAAACACCGCCACATGCATGTGCGCAAAGGGACATCCACATCCCCAGTCCTGGCTCTGTGCCTTATTTTTAAAGCTTTGGGCCTTTTTCAACTTTATTTTTGTGCTGTAAAGAAAGAATGAAGGAGCAGGGGGATGGGAGAAGCATTGAAAATAACCAGTTTCAAACATATGGCTTTCTAATGAGAGGACTTCACAGCACAAAGCTGTGGCCCCAGGAAAGTGCAGACATTACGGGTACCCCACTTCTTACCACAGCAGAACAATGAGTGTACAGGAGAAAAACTGGAGCGATTCAGGCCGGGCACGGTGGCTTATGCCTGTAATCCCAACACTTTGGGAGACTGAGGCAGGAGGATCACCTGAGGTCAGGAGTTTGAGACCAGCCTGGCCAACATGGCAAAACCTCATCTCTACTTAAAATATATATATATACACATATACAAAAATTAGCTGGGCATGGTGGTGGGCACCTGTAGTCCCAGCTACTCAGGAGGCTAAGGCAGGAGAATCACTCAAACCAGAGAGGCAGAGGCTGAAGTGAGCCAAGATCACGCCACTGCACTCCAGCCTGGGCAAGGGAGTGAGACTCCATCTCAAAAGAAAAACTGGAGAGATTCACATTCCAGGGCAATGGATCTTGCATCTGTAAGTCTGGAACTTTCCCAGCAAGTTGTTTAGGATGGAAGGATTAGGAAAAAAAACAAGAAGTAGGGAATGTGTCCATCGATGCCACCCTGCTAACACTTGGAGCATTTTTAAAAGTTATTTTCTTTTCTAATTCTTAAAAGCTCATACTGAGCCAGACAAGTTTCAATCCCACATAAATTCAGGTGATGAATCCACACAGAGCGCCAGAAGATTTGCAATGGAAATGGCCACCAGCCCTCAACTACAGAGCCCAATGCGACACTTGCAGTGTGTCTGATTTGGAATTCAAACCCCACTCAAGACAATGGTCCTTTATTAAGTTTCTGACATTCATTACCTTGCCTGCTGGCTGGGCTATATCTCATTGACTGCTTATCCTGGGAGGCATTCTAATTCTTCACCCAAACACATGAAGAAGGTGAACTGACCAAAGGGAACCACCCAAAGAGATGAAATGCTGAGCAGAACTGAGTCTGACAAAGCCCCTGCCCTCTGCCTTACACCATCCTTTGCTGGCCACGCCCCTTTGCCTTTCCGAGCCATGAAACCCATGAAACTGAAAGGGTTGTCTCTGTGGCTGAGCCAGGTACCTGTTGACCACCCTTCTCCCCCTCTCCAGTTCAAATCCTCTGCTGCTGTCAGTGACACATGCTTCTGGCTCATCTGGGTGGCCCAGCCTCATTAGGAAGGGATTTGGTGCCTGTTAGTTAATTGAGGCCCGTTCCCGCCACCTGCCACTCGCAGGCCTCATCTGCACACTAACTGCTCCTAATTGTCATCATACGGCGGGATCCCCACAACAACTTGAGAACAGATCCCGAGCAGCCCGTGCAGGCTCCACGACGGTCCAGGGAGCTGGGGCTGGGGGAGCATCGGGCACTGTGATGATTTAGCAAGGGGGCAGATGTTTGGAGAAGAGAGGCACTTTGCATCAGCATCAGTGTGAAAGTTTCTCATGTATTATACTCTCCGGTGTCACTTTATAGATAGGATTCATAAAAGGCTTCGTCTGTACAGAGACCAACTCAATGGAGAACAAATGGCTCAGCAATGCGGACTGCACATCATGCAGACACGGTGCTGCTTATCCACGCATAGCTGGAGCCAGCGCATCGCATCGGTGTAACTTCTCCCACTGAGAAATGGGAAAGCATTTAGGAGATCAGAGCACTGCCCCCACGCCCTGTTTCGAAAGAGTTTGAGCAGAAAAAGGTGCAGAGGTGAGTGCCAAAAGCCGATCAGCCCTTGGGGTTGGAGAGGGCAAGCAGGGAGGAGACAGAGGATGACACAGAGAGAGAAAGTCAAACACACTCAGAGACACAAAGTGAAAAGAGACGAGGGGAAAACAGATCGTCGAGTGGAAGAGTCAGAAGGGGCTTTGGTGTAGGTTCGCAATACAAATCTAGGAAAAAATGGAAATACATTCAAGACGCAAGCTGTGACAACTAAGGAGAGAGTGAAAAAGGGGGAAAGGGAGTCTGTCATTCTAGGAAATCACAGGATTTGGGGGCTCAGAAGCCACATCTGGAGGGAATCAATCTGGACTTAATGGAAATGAGACTACAGCAAGTAATACAATTAGTTGTGGTTTTTAAACTACAAGCATAACCCCAGCCCACCTCCCTGGAAGCCAAAGCCCCCGGCTCTCGGGATGCCCCATCACTGGGGTATTTCTCAGGTCTCTTCCCCCAAAACAGGGAAATATTTTTTGCCTAGAGAATTCTAAGTCATGTCTGCTTATGAGTCCTTTCCTCCTGGATGAAGAAAAAGAAAGAAATAAGAAGGCCAGGTGTGGTGGCTCATGCCTGTAATCCCAGCACTTTGGGAGGCTGAGGCGGGTGGATCACGAGGTCAGGAGTTGGAGACTGGCCTGACCAACATGGTAAAACCCCATCTCTACTAAAAAATACACACACAAAAAAAAATTAGGTGGGCGTGGTGGTGCACACCTGTAATTCCAGCTACTCAGGAGGCTGAGGCAGGAGAATTGCTTGAACCCAGGAGGCGGAGTTTGCAGTGGGCCAAGATCATGCCACTGCATTTCAGCCTGGGCAACAGAGCAAGACTCTGTCTCAAAAAAAAAAAGAAAAAGAAAGAAGAAACAAAGAAAAGAAAGGTGGGAGGGGGGAGGGAAGGAGGGGAGGAAAGAAGAAAAGAGAAAAGAAAGGAAGGAAGAAGGAGGGAAAGAAAGAAGGAAAGAGAAAGAAAGAAAGCAAAAGAAAAGAAGGAGGAAGGAAGGAAGGAAGGAAGGAAGGAAGGAAGGAAGGAAGGAAGGAAGGAAGGAAGGAAGGAAGGAAAGAAGGAAGGAATGAATGAAAGAAGGAAGGAAGACATGGAATGAACCCTGGGAGGGATGTGGCACCAGAGGAAAAAAAACAAGAATGAGAAAAGCAACGCACAAAAGGCTCGAGTGTGAAATGAAGCATGAGACACATGTTTTGTCACCACAGATTTAGCCAATGGATAAAAATATCCCCAAGACAGGTGGCAGCAATGTCTCCTCACTCCCCCACCTCTAAGCCTCCAGAAAGAAACCAAAACAATCGGAAAGTCAAAGCCTGACCTGGAAGGTTTGATTATTTGTTTGATTTTTAGAGATAGGATCTCGTTCTGTTGCCCCGGCTGAAGTGCAATGATGCAATCATAGCTCACTGCAGCCTCAGCCTCCTGGTTCAAGTGATCCTCTTCCCCTCAGCCTCCTGAGTAGTTGAGGCCACAGGCACACCTCCATGCCCAGCTAATCTTTTAATCTGTTGTAGAAACGAGGTCTCATTATGTTGCCCAGGCTGATCTTGATCCCTTGTCCTCAAGGGATCCTCTTGCCTTGGCCTCCCAAAGTCCTGGGGTTACGTATGTGAGCCCAGCCATGTGTGTATGCTTGTGTATGGTTTTGTTTTGTTTTTGTGAAATGGAGTTTCGCTCTTGTCCAGACTGGAGTGGAAGGGCGCAATCTCGGCCCACTGCAACCTCCGCCTCCTGTGTTCAAGCGATTCTCCTTCCTCAGCCTCCCTAGTAGCTGGGACTACAGGCATGTGCCACCACACCAGCTAATTTTGTATTTTTAGTAGAGACAGGGTTTCACCATGTTGGTCAGGCTGGTTTTGAACCCCTGACCTCAGGGGATTCACTCACCTCAGCCTCCCCAAAGTGCTGGGATTATAGGCATGATCCAATACACCTGGCCTTTTGGGTGTTTTAATAAACCACGTTCTGAAATGAATTCCATCCTTTCTAACAGAGAGAGAGAGAGAGAAGAGAGAAAGGGAGGGAGGGACTCTGAAATGGAAAAAGCGTGGTGTTGTGAATTGCTTCCAGAAGCGGTTTCAGCACTGTTAACCAGCAGAGTCACCAGCTTCAGAAAAGGGCCCATTCCTCCAGACTTCCCCACAGACAAACACTGGGGAGAGGGCAGTGGTGTTGATTAAACCTCAGAGAGCCCAGAGAGCAAAGCCACGTTTTGCCACAACACAGCACCTCTTACAAAGAAACCCCCATTCTTTTGGTTTCCTCTGCAAATATATCAAGTCAAGTGATCTTTCAAAAACTTGCTGCCACTGGCTTTCTTCCTAACTTTTGACGAAGAACACTTTCTGTCTTCCCAGAGCTCACACTTCCGACTCACTCGAAAAGCCTTAAAATGTCCTTCTGCATAATTTGCTAACCCCAGCACCTGTGCCTCATCCGGACTTAATTCTGCCCACGATGCAAAACCCAGAGAGCCCTTCTTTTCACATCTTGCCTGCCTGCTACTGGCTTTTGGGCTCCCCCTCCTCAGCGTCCCTCCCTGGACGTCACTCACTGCTTGTTCCCCCGCATGCCTCCTCCAGCCTGGGAACCCGAGGGGCCGACGTCTAGGCTGCTTCCGCGAGCTGGCAGATTTCAGAGGCAAAAAAAACGCATGAGAAAGAAAGAATGGCAGTTTGACACTGCACTGTCACAGTTAAAATGGGCCCCGCGCGTGACCCAGGCTTGGACACCGAGGCCTCGTGCCCAATCACAGCTGAGGCTGCATCTGCCACGGTTCACGGACCCGCTGCTCCATGCTGGGGGACCAGATGCCTCTGTTTACGCCGCTCTCCCCCAGCCTTCTGCTGGCCGGTCGGCAGCAAGACAGAGCCCGGTAGCCAGTCACTGGGCTTCAGCTGTCTCGGAGGCCTTGTCTTTCAATATATTCTCTCCTCCACACCTCTCTGTCCCCACACCCCTGCCCCAAATGGCCAGAAGGGGTATCTCTCTTTTTAAAGTTTGACCCAATAGAACAAAGCGGAAGAAAGGCTAACCTGGGGACTTTGATTCCTGCCATCCTCAAGACAACACTGTGTTTAAAGATCAGGCCAGGGCCTGGCGCGGTGGCTCAAGCCTATAATCCCAGCATTTTGGGAGGCCGAGGTGCGTGGATCACTTGAGGTCAGGAGTTTGAGACTAGCCTGGCCAACATGGATGAAACCGTCCCTACTAACAATACAAAAATTAGCCAGGCATGGTAGTGCGCGTCTGTAACTTCAGCTACTCGGGAGGCTCAGGCAGGAGAATCCCTTGAACCCGGGAGATAGAGGTTGCAGTGAGCTGAGATGGCTCCACTGCCCTCCAGCCTGGGTGAGAGTGAGACTCCATCTCAAAAAATAAAAAAAATTTAGACATCGTCATCACCTCATTCTGTTTCTCCACCCAACTTCCGGCTTTCAATGTGTCTGTGATTGCTGGGAATATGGACATTGGAAACCAAGTTGAAATGCCAGCATTTAACATTTTTAGTTTTATAAAATTGACCCACTGTGCTGGAAGTTGGAGGCTGGGAGGAGGAGTGAGAGGTTTGAAGCCAGCAGTTCACTTCCATCTCTTAAAGGCCCTCAAGATGGATTTGGGGTGTGTCTCTTAAGAGGCATCCCGGGCACGTTTGCCACCCTCTTTTCTTTCACTGACCCTGCAGCTCAGGACTGTGCAGAAGGTATGCCTGGGCATCCCCCCCAGGCAAGGGGAGTGGAGCACACGGAAGGAAGTGCGTTTGTCCCCAGGGGCCAAGTGAATTCGTGCCTGGGGGCAGTGCAGACCAAGTGCTAAGGGTTGCCCCATACACAATCTCTTCTGCAGCACCAAGGAGCATCTTCAAAGCAGACCCAGCTGCTGCCATTCTCTGGCTCCCAAAACACCATACCTTTGGCCAGAGAAGGGGAGAAGCCGGGTTTTCACTGACAGTCTCTCCTGTTGCTGAAGATGATGGCTGCCCCTCAAATGCCAGTGGCCGTCCTTGCTGAGGACTCACGCCCTCATCACGGGTCCTGCGCACTGCCTCTCCATCACTGTGCTTGTTCCTGGAAGCACGTGGATTCACTTCTTCTCCTCACCTTCCCCTTCCACCAAAGCTCCCCCAACACACCCCCACCTGGCCAACAAGATGAAACCCTATCTCTACTAAAAATGCAAAAATTAGCCAGGCATGATGGTGGGCACCTGTAATCCCAGCCACTCAGGAAGCTTGGGCAGGAGAATCACGTGAACCCAGGAGGTGGAGGCTGCAGTGAGCCAAGATCTCACCACTGCACTCCTGCCTAGGTGACAGAGTGAGACTCCATCTCAAAAAAAAAAATGTTTTTTAATAAAATAAAAATAAATTTTTTTGAAAAGAAAGAAAATGCTGGGAAGGTGGCTCTCCTAGTACTTCAGGAGGCTGAGACAGGAGGATCACTTGAGTCCAAGAGTTCAAGACCAGCCTGGTCAACATGCTGAGATACCCCATCTCCACAAAAAATTCAAAAATTGCCTGGGCATGGTGGTGCACCTGTAGTCCCAGCTTCTCAGGAGGCTGAGGTGGGAGGACCACTTGAGCCCAGGAGTTTGAGGTTGCAGTGAGCCATGATTATGCCACTGCACTCTTGTTTGGGTAAGAGAATAAGACTTCATGGGAAGGAAGGAAGGAAGGAAGGAAGGAAGGAAGGAAGGAAGGAGGGAAGGAGGGAAGGAGGGAAGGAGGGAAGGAGGGAAGGAGGGAAGGAGGGAAGGAGGGAAGGAGGGAAGGGAGGAAGGGAGGGAGGGACGGAGGGAGGGAGGGAAGGAGGGAGGAAGGGATGGAGGGAAACTAATTTGAGCTGAATCTTGAAGAGTTCAAAAGAGAAAACATGAGGTGAAGGCGTGAAAGAAAACATTCAGAAGGAATGAAAACCCATCATTCTTTCCACTACTGAGCACAAAGCACAAGGCAGACATGGTAGTGAATGTCGGAGACTCTGACATATGCAGGAAACAATGAGTGTGATGGTATTTTATTGAGAATTATGCTGTGAATGCCATGTGGCAATTTAGCAAAGGAGGCTCTGAAAAGCAGCTCATTTATAGCGTGGTAGTTACCTGCATGTGAGTGTCAAATACAGATATGTACTTTGCCACAGGTAGTCCTTCAGGGTTCCCTGGGACTAGCATGCATTCCACAGGAAATAAAAAAGAGATCCAAGGGAAAATGTGCTGCTAATCCAACTATTCATGATATTTATCATGCATGGAGTATATGCAAAGCACCTACTGGATACTCTATGTGAATTAAAGAGGTTGGCAGATTTGAGTTTATGCAAACCAATATAATATTACAATATGATATCATTATACCTATTATATTTATAGAATTTTATTTTTATATTATAAAGTTTTGCAAAGTCCTGTCCATAATAATAGTAATTTTATTATATTTATTTATTTTTGAGACAGAATCTTACTCCATCACCCATGCTGGAGAGCAGTGGCACCATCTCGACTCACTGCAACCTCCACCTCCCAGGTTCAAGCAATCCTCCAGCCTCAGCCTCCCAAGTAACTGGGATTACAGACACGTGCACCACACCCAGATAATTGATAATAGTAATTTTATTGTTTATTTATTTATTTATTAGACAGAGTTTCACTCTGTCACCAAGGCTGGAGCACTGTGGCATGATCTCAGCTCACTGCAACCTCCACCTCCCAGGTTCAAGTAATTCTCCTGCCTCAGTCTCCTGAGGAGCTGGGATTACAGATGCATGCCACTACACTCAGCTAATTTTTGTATTTTTTTTTTTGAGATGGAGTTTTGCTTCTGTTGCCCAGACTGCAATGGCACAACCTCAGCTCACCACAACCTCCAGCAATTCTCCTGCCTCAACCTCCTGAGTAGCTGGGAATACAGGCATATGCCACCATGCCCAGCTACTTTTTGTATTTTTACTAGAGATGGGTTTTCACCATGTTGGCCAGGATGGTCTCGATCTCTTGACCTCATGATCTGCCCACCTCAGCTTCCCAGAGTGCTGGGATTACAGGCATGAGCCACCGCGCCCAGCCTAATTTTTGTATATTTAGTAGAGACGGGATCTCGCCATGTTGGCCAGGCAGGTTTTGAACTCCTGACCTCAGGTGATCTGCCTGCTTCGGCCTCCCTAAGTGTTGGGATTACAGGCATGAGCTGCCATGCCCAGCCAATAACAGTAATTTTAAATATTCAACACAAGTATTATTTTTAACTCCTAAGTCTTCCTTCAGACCTGAGAAGTTTCTTGAAGATCACCAGCATCTTCAATGGGCAACTGCAAGATACACTAGTGGTTACCTAGGAGGCAGCCCATCCTGGATCAGCAACCAAACCTGCTTCTCCAGAGCCAGACAAGAACTAGGAATCATCTTTTCACCTGGGAAGGAATCAAGTGAAATGCTAAATCGAACTAGAGGCAAGGGTGACATAATTTACATTACATATAAATAACCAGAAACCATTGGTGGCCACAGAGGTTTACTTTGAGCTAATAAAACATATGCATGCATCTAGTGTAAATCTAAGAATCTGAGGATGTTACAATTCCTGATAGGTAATAATTTAAGAAAGCAGATGCATTGGTATTTGGCAAGAGTTCCCTGTTACATGGAAAGCATTAAAGCCCTACAAGACACTATTTTATGCCTAGAGACTGGCACAGAGTATATACTCATTGAATGCATGTTGAATGAATGAATGCAATTCTAGCTGCTCTGATTACTCTAAAGATAAATAAGGTATGCTTCTTGAAATTTAATGTTTAATGTTTTGGATGGAAAAGATATGGAATAAATAATGGTTGAAGAAACTTGAGCTATTTCATCACCCAATACAGGCTTTGGAATATGGCAAGACCTGTTTTTCTTCTGCAGATACAGTGTAAGAAAGGAAAAGAGATTCTGGGGATGGAGTAATAAACAAAAGAAGGAAAGGAAGTCTGCTAAAAACCCTATTAACTCCAAATCCTCCTAAATTTCCAGTATATTCTTCTTCTGAGATGTAACTTTGCAAATTTAGTTTTAACCTAAAATGTTTTAGCCAAAAATGGTGAACATATTTTGGCAAGATGTCGTTCATATAGCATTACAAAATGCTTTGTAAGTATGAAATTACATGTGTGAGAGCCCCACCACTCAGAAACCCTGACACACACTTTCCCTTTTGAAGATAATTTCATATCTGAGTCACAGCTCCCTGCACATGCTTAACTTAAAGTGACTTCAAAATATGGCACAAACATTGACTAATTAATCCCCATGACAACACAGGGAAGCCCTGAAAAGCTCTGGAGAGTGCCCATGCCCTGGGCAGCACCACAGCCTGATTTTTAAGAATCTTGTTCTTTTTAGGTTTTCTCTGATCACGACATGCCCTACTGCCTCCAAAAAACCAGACAAAACAAACAATGACAACTCAGACTGTTGCTGCTGCTTCTCCTCCTCCTCCTCCCCCCTCCTTCTCCCCCCTCCTCCTCCCTCCTCCTCCTCCTCCTCCTCTCCCCTCTTTCTCAGCCTTCCTCTCTCTCTCTCCTCTCTCCTCTCTCCTCTCTCTCTCTCCCTCCCTCCCTCCCTCCCTCCCTCCCTCTCTCTCTCTCTCTCTCTCTCTCTCTCTCTCACCAAAAGCAGAAATGTTTATCCTTAGTGTTGACCACCAGACCCCGTGCTTGTAATTCAGCACCAAGGACACCTCCCATGCTTTTGGAAACTGCTAGACAGTCTACCCTGTAATAAATGAAAGCTTTAGTTTAAAGATCACCAAGAAAACAAGCCCACCAAGAAAAGTATTCCCTGCCTCAAGTGTAATTGCAATGATGACTTTCAGGCAAAAAAAAAAAAGTGTATCTATATCTAATTATTATCTATATTTATTGAAATGATATTAATATTTTAATATTTTTAATTGATTCAGCTATCTCAAATACAATCCATACTAAGCAAATACCTGCTGAATGTATTTATAGAATAAAATAAAAGGCTTAAATGTCCAGGTGTATGGACCTCAGGTAGTGGCTAAGACCACATGGTCTTAATTTCACAGATAATGGGGCCAATTTCCATTGAGACGGTGGGATCTGCCTGGATTCCAGGGATTGGGGACTATTTTCTACTGACCACGCCTTCCACTACATTTTTCACTCATATTAGGAAACCCGCTTTATGCCACAAATGTTTTTATTTGCCTTCTGAGAAGGTTTCCCTTGTTGATAATTTTTTTCAAAAGTAGGCTTTTGAAAGAACATCTCCAGGGCCAGGCGCAGTGGCTCAAGCCTGTAATCCCAGCACTTTGGGAGGCCGAGGTGGGTGGATCACGAGGTCAAGAGATCGAGACCATCCTGGTCAACGTGGTGAAACCCCGT